ACACACACACACACACCACAGATGTAATTGGTTTACTTCACACTGTACTTGTTGTGGTGTTGCTACCAAATATATCATGCTGATGCAGTTTAAAGCTGAATTTTGCAGTTTGTCCTTAAACGTACGGTTTGTGTGTTTTTGTAGTAACTACCAGTCTGGATCAGTGAGACACGTTCCCTCTTTGGACTCCATCAGCTGTGCTGTCGATGGAGTACACATCCAGGTAACACACACATAACACACACACAATACCACACACACACACACACATATCACAGATACAGTGACTGTTTACCTAAACAGTTTAATTCTTTATAGTACAATTAAATAATAAATAGCCGAACTCTTTAGATGACCTTAAATCTTTCTAAAAATAATTGTCACTTTATCTGTATAAAATTATATTACATCTTCATGGGTTGTTTGAACAGTAAGCTTACATTTGAAATACAATATATGGCCAAAAGTATGGGGACACCACATACTTAAGTGTACCTTTTGGTGGGCCACTATGGCTTCGCAACTTCATGGCAACAGTTCGGGTGAAGCTCCTTCCTGCCCAACGCGAAAAAGCCACCGTCCCCAAAGTTCAGATCCATAAAAGAAACTGCGTTTTCCCAGTTTGATGTGGAAGAACTTGACTGACCTGCACAGAGTCCTGACTTTAACCCTATCCAGCACCTTTGGGATGAACTGGTACGGTGACTGAGAGCCAGACCTTGTCACCCAACATCAGTGTTAGACCTCACTAGTGCTCGTGTCTGAGTGGAAACAAATCCCTAAGATCAGAAGGGTGGAGGCTGTTAGCTCACCAGGGTATTGCCCATTGTTTCTGATTCACACGTTCAAGAATAAAACGTGTGTGAATTCTTGAAGTGTGCGCATACTTTTGGCCATGTAGTGTACATCAATTAAACTCTGAGAATTATCTTATTTCAGCCAAACTCAAATAATGTATGCTTTAAAACTTAAATTCAACTACAATGCAAATTCTGTTTAAACATTTATTAATGTCTTAAAGGTACATTTCACTTAAATATAACTCCCACACACACTCTGACCCTTCTGCCAACTCTCAGCACCCCACACCCCCACTTTAAAATGACACTGTTGGCTTTGAGGATCTACAAAATAAAAGCTTTTCACCGTGACGAGGACTACACACACCGCTCTAATCCTCTCCTGTGTGTAGCGCTGCTCCTCCCCCTATCTGCTGATTGGCTGTGATGAAACCGGGCGGTCCCTCAGCGAAGGGAACTCCCCCTCTCGCATCGGTCGTCAGGGCAGCCGTGGTCGCTACGGTTACGCTGCTGGCCATGGCCACCACCCCGCGCTGAGCCGCCGCGTTAGCCGCAGGGATATGACCACCGTGAGAAAAAACTACAACTATTTACATTCCTCCCAACCCGAGCACCGCCCTGTGTTTTTACCGTGTTGTAACCGTTTGTATTCCATCGGCTTCAATCTGACTCCATCTCACATTACCTCCCACCGATTTACCGTTTAAATCCTCATGTTTTCTATCCGTTCACACTTGGCACTGATTTTTTTGCCTCTGGTTTTCACCTTCATGTCTGATTTTATGCACTCCAAATGTGTCAGTGAGCCTCATATATCTCTAATCCAGCTCTGGTTTCATCCCATAAAATCTGGATTTCACTTCTCTGCCATTTTAAACTTCTTAAGCCTGTTCCACAAAACTTGATACATTTGTGTCTGTTCACATGTACGGTGGTTCAATTTGTGTAAGTGTTTGCCTGACTGTACGTGTGTCGTATATTTTCTGCCTTGTCAGTGTCCTCTTTTAACGTGTTATGTCTGTTTGAATTTATAATATGAATCAGTTGGTTGTGTCTTTGACTCACTGTTTGTCTCCTAGTCTGTATTTAACTTACAATGTTGTGGAGTCCTCAATTTCTGCAAATAGTTATACTGTAGCTGCACAGTCTTTTGTATTTACCCTGTAGTTTCCAAACAGACTCCTTCTGAGTCATTCAATTCAATTAATGGTTGATTTTTTTTGTACTTTCGTTCCCTTACTTGTTGAAGTAGTGCCCTAGAGTAAGGCATTTCACCTTTAATCACTGTGGTGCAGACTGAATAAATAGTAGCTGAGTCAAAGTTCAGCTATTTTCTGTCAACTTTCACTTAATTAATAAACATTAAAAACCACTGCGTAAAGCTCAACACTTAAAATGATCATATCTCGACTGATACTGAATGTTTTAGCCAATCAGCAAACGTATACACCAGTACTGATATATCTGAAAAGCTCATATCAGCTGATATATCTTCATTAGTAATCTGCTGATTAATAATCTTTCCTGATCATTAAAATGTAAGAAATTTAATTTGCTCATTTGCTTCAATCAACAGTCTAAAATCCAAAGATATTGAGTTTCAGTATTTAGTATTCACAATGATAGGAAACAGAGAAAAGCAACAAATCCTCACATTTTGAGAAGCTGGATTTGGCTTAAAAAATGATTGAAACAACTAATCAATCGATAAAGAGCTGCGATAAAGTATCCAAAAACCTGATGTTGACAATCAGTATGTACCACCAGACACGTATATCCTGTATATCCAACTCTCCGCATGTGATCACCTCGTCCCGCCTTCGTCCCACTGTTAGATACCTCGTCACATATTTCTCTCCTGTTGTCAAGACACCCACTCTGTCGTGGAATTTAAATGGGTGTTAATATGGCTGTCCGTGGTGTCTTGTCAGTGGTCCCGTGATTGCAGAGTGTTTCCCTTGCCTGTTAAGTCATAATGGAAATATACCAAGTGTGTGTGCTGTAAATTGGAGAGTTTATTTCCAAAGTTCTACAAGAAAGATTTGCATAAATCCAGTAAATCACAATATCTTTACAGTGATTTACTGAAGCACAGACTCTCTTAAAGTGCCTCATTTAGTCAACTGAGAAGCTTTGTGAAGTTACTTAAAAGCACCATTAATGTTGCATGATTTAGCCTTTTTTCTAGTAATGAAACTATATATTTGTGAGTTCAAACGGACTAACACATTTTCATGGGATTTGTTATGGGTAAGAACAATATAAAACACCAGCTCCTTTTTAAAAGCATTTTAGTTGTTTCACTTTGGATCCAGACTCTTCACTTATAGTTATTGTCACCTTGTGGAAACCAGCTCCTACACTTCCACACTTTCTCTTAAATACCTGGTTAACTTGGAAATGTGAACTTTTTCCATTGATACACAAGGTAGAGTTTGTTGCTGGCATGGATTCTTTGTTTTATTGAGAGCCTTTCCCCTTACAGAGACTTATAGAACGGACAACATTTTCCAGTCCTAATCTTTAACTTTTAAATACAAGCTCAAATGTTGTGTTGATGTTAATGGACCAGCAGCCAATGTAGAAATCCTACCTAAAACAGTAAATACATCTTATCTCAAGAGTAATCATTTATGTGACGTGGGACTTCTACGATGGCTCCATGGGATTAAGTTCTGTGTACTTCGGTAACGGTGTTACATTAAATCCACTGTGATTGGTTTCTTTACGACAGGACGCAGTTGGCTCCACCAATCAGCTTGCTGCTGCGGGGAGTGGAGGGGCAGAGAACGGCATGCTGGCCCCCCCACACAACGCCTACACACACCACGGAGAGAGAGCTCGAGCCATGTCTGCTTCTGGGAAGGTAACACACACACACACACACACACACCACACACACACACAACACACACAACAGACACACAGACACACAACAGACACACAGTCAAAAGTCCACATGAGCCACTGGAGGGCAGCAGAGAAGGGGTGCAGATTTCTTCATCACCTTCCTTTTTTTTTTGTTCTTATTTTCTTTCCTTGTTCCTCCTCTCCTCCTCATTTTCTCTCCACTTGTCTCCTCTCCTTCTCTCTTTCTGTAAAAACCATGTGCCTTTGAAAACTTGTGACTGCAATTAATGATAATAAACTCTCTAACCTCGCCTCATCCTCTCTTTCTCTCAGTCGTGCTCGGCCCGGGATCAGCTGGCTCTGACGTTAGGTGCGTTGAATTCAGACGGTCAGAGGAGCAGCAGGGACTCTCTGCACTGTTCCAGCGGCTACAGCACGCAGACCACCACCCCGTCCTGCTCTGAGGACACCATACATACACACAGTGAGTGTACACACACACACAAATAAACACACCGAGAGTACAGACACAGCCATAAAGAATCTAAAACACATTTTTAAATAAATAAGGCTGATTATGTTTATACAAACTGATTTAGAAGATGTTTGGTTTCCTGCTGCATCCTGCAATCACGGACAAAAACATAAGTAAATGTGAATGAGCTTCTGATTACGCACTCTCTAAATATGAGTCTGACTTAAAGGCATACATTGTGATTCAAATAGAAACTAAAGAGGCAATTCAAAAAACAAGTCTGGCAAATGAGACATGAATGTGAACACAAACTCACCCAGGGAGCTCTAACCCTGCTAAATGATCCGTATGACTGAACCTCTCAGCTGCCCTCTGTGGTGTTTTTGTTTTTGGATCAAACTGACTCTGTTGACACGTCTGTCATCTCAGTTATTTACTAGTTTCTTCTGTATTTCTCTGTTACTGGTGTACTGTCTCGTCTCTGGTGCTCTGCTGTGTTCTTTCAGTAGTTTTGTGTTTTCTTGGCTAAACTTCCTTCCTTCTCTTCCAGCTGTAAAGAGAGATCCTCCCCTCTATGGTAGGTCTCTGACTCTCCCTGTCTGTTTATGAGCCTGTCTGTCTGCCTTCTTGCCTGTTTATCTCCCAGCTAAGGTCAGGGAATTGATTTGCATATCATCACATCTGCATTCAGCTTTGCATTCATTTATTGAATCTACTATGAATATGTAAGAACTGAAATTCAAAGATTCAGTAAAGAACTTTATCAGCTTTTGTTGGCTGAGAAGGCAGAAACACTCCAGTTTTGAATAGCAGTCTAATTAGTAAGGATGTCCCAATCAAGTTTTTTGTCCCTGATCCAGATCTGATGCACGAAAGTTTAACTGAATGAGAGCTAAAGGGAAGATGTGGCACGGCAGAGCGAGCACTTTAACCAGACAACAGCCACGTTTAATGTCGTCTTGTTGTTAAGTCATTCATGGCATTAAAATTAATTAGTGACAGCTGATATGATCTGCTAGTTGAACGTTTTAGACACCGGTCTATGTTAATGATGGTTAAAAACCTTTTGCCACTGTCAGTGTCTGAACTTAAACCCATTGGTGCTCCCGCATATATATTCAAAATATCACGAGATTTAGGGCTGCAACTAATGACTATTTTCATTATTGATAAAATGACAGAAAATGGTGAAAATACCCATCGTAATGTCTCAGAGATATTTAGTTACCTGTTAACATTTATAACACAGTACAGCGGCACAACCTGAGTGTGTTTAGTATTAAACGTGTTCTCTGTAGTCAGATTCGTGGTTGTTTAATTTCCCTTATTTAAATCTTCCATTTGTGCAGCTGTTTCTTACTGTTGGTAGCTGACATGCACGACTCTCATGAAATATTTGATAATTCAGCATTAAAATAATGATAGTTGTTTTACGTCATTCCCATGAAGCAACGTCTATTTTTAATTCAGTTACTCAGAACATTACACTGGGTCTGTGTGTGTGTGTGACTTTAGGTAATGTGGTTACATGTTCTCTGTTTCTGTTGGATTAGAGTTTCCACATTGATGCATCCTAATTGTTCTCTCTCTCTCTCACACACACACACACGACCAGTGAGTCACTGATGTGATTATGTGTTCCTGCTGCTTCGTCATCTGGCTGTCAGATGAGGAGATGAAAACACTCAAATCAAATGTCATCAAGATAACAGAAGTCCAGCTGCATGCAGAGCAACAACTAATATCTTCTTTGTCTCTCTCTCTCTAGTCGACTACGAGTCTATCTCTCTCCACGGGGACGCCGACTCCATCTCCTTACATCACCTCTCCCACGGCAACAACCAGTCCGACTTTGACAAGTCCTCCACCATCCCGAGGAACTCCGACCTCAGTTTCCAGTACAGGAAGTTTGCTCAGTCCAAGCGCCCCTCCTCCACTGTCAGCCTATTGGCCGAGCCCGAATTGATGGGCAGGTCGGTTCACCAGCTGCCGTCCCACACGGCAACCATCAGGCGCAAACCGTCGTCCAAGCCGGCGTATCGCAGGGGCACGATCAGCGGAGGGGTTCCCATCCCCATCAGCACCCCACAGGTTCCCCTTAAAGCCTTCGGAGGAAATGGCGGGAGCGATGAGAACGTCTTCACAGCGCCCGCTGCTGTAGGAGCAGGAGGTCTAGGTTACAGTAAACTCTGCACCTCCACGCAGAGCCTCAGTGCCTTGCCTCCCTCCTCTTCCTCCCCATACTACCAGCTGGTCCATGGTCAGATGCCCATACCGGTGCCTGTACCCACTGTACCCTCCCTGCCACCGGAGGGCAGCAGTGCCAAACAGCAACAACAGAGACAGTACCAGCAACAACTACAGCAACAACAGCAAATCAACCAACAACTGAACCATCAGCAGCAACGCAGTCAACTACAGCAGCAGCAGCAACATTATCAGCAACAGTTTCAAGAACAACAGCAACTACAACATCAGCAGCAGCAGCAACATCAGCAGCAGTATCAACAGCAGCAGCAGCAACTACAGCAACAGTTTCAACAGCAGCAGCAACAATATCAGCAGCAGCAGCAGCAACTACAGCAACAGTTTCAACATCAACAATCACTGCTTCAGCAACCCCAGCAACTGCAAAATCAACAAGGTCAGTATCAGCAGCAAGACCAGCAGCAACAACATCTGAGCCAGCAGCAGAAACAGCTTCTGTTTCAGCAGCAGCAGCAGCCGCAGCAGCAGCAGCCGCAGCAGGCCCCGCTCCAGGCCTCTGCTTCCCAGGGAGAGCCCTCCAGTCTAGGCCACAGCACTCACTACCAGCCCCAGGCTCCTCCACCCTGCAGCCAGGACCAGAACCCGGAGCAGCTGGTCCAGGCAGAAGGAGGAGACATGCTGACCAAAATCAGAGGAGTAAAGCTCAAAAGGACCCTCACCAACGATCGCTCCGCCCCTCTCCTGCCCCCTCCGACCAATCACAAATGAGGCTGAACGAGCGATGGTTTTGCTAGTTTAACGCGTTCACCTGAGGGTGTCGGCACGGAGCAAAATCACACACACAGACTTCCTGTTGAATACAGATTGTGGACTGATTATTGCTGGAACTTGACATGTGTCTTACTTTCTTTTCTAAAGTTCTGCTTCCTTTTAAGATGTTTAGATTTTTGTTTTAAACGATTTTGAGACTCGTTATTTCCTGTTGCTGCAGCGACCATCTTTTTGCTTTTCGTTTTGTTTTGGTTCGTGTTTGCATTTCGATTGTGCATAAAGTTTTTGTCTGACACAGTCTTACCCGTAGAACTGTTGATTGTTTTAGTTAGTGCTCACTTCCTGGTCAGATGATCATTACGTGACTGGTTAATTAGCCAGACAGGAAGCTTTTAGTGTCTCAGATCCTCTTCAGACCTGGGTGTGTTTGATTTGCCTGTTGTCTAGAGTCCCAGACGGGTGGGGTTTAGTAATTAGTCCAGTAGCTCCCTCCACTGTGTCACATGGTTGAACCATGCTGTGTGGAGGTTTTAATTTGCTGGCTGTGGGTCAGTGCTGGTCCAGTGTGAGTGGCAGTTCAGTCGTCTGTTCCGGGTCATCTCAAAGAGCCGAACACCGAAACCGACGCTCATGACTCTTGAATAAAACGTCGACGGGGACTGTTGATTGTAAATATGTTCCAACAAAAAAAAAAAAAAAAGCTTTGGGAGCACTTGGGGAGGATGGGTGTTTTGCTTAATGGCATCTTGTTAAAGGTCATTCACTTTTATTGGAACTGAAGATGAGTCACAGTTTTGATTCCCTCACCTTCAAGTGGCAACAGTTTCCTCTACTGGGACGCCAAATGGACGACTGCAGTGTGTGCAAAAGGATTAAAAATGTTACTGTGTGCAAATTCCTGGTTTAATGTGTAAATAACTAGCTGGTTAATTACGAGGAATAATAACGAGAAGACAGTGGTTCATTTGCAACTTTTAGAGGCAACGCTGTTGTTCTAGGAGAAAGCAGACCAGGAACTATGGCTGACATCACTGCTGAGAACATAGCGGGCTATGAGAAGCAGAACTGTTAAAAATGGAGTCAGTCACAGCTGCTGGGGACGCACAGGTCTGTGCAGGTTTGAAGGCAGCGATCATTGGATACAGCCACCCTGTTGGAACATGTAATTGAACTTTCTGCTACCACTTTTTAGATCATTTAATATTTAGAGCCCACACAAGATTAGTGAGGCGGATATCAGCCAATATTTGCTTTTTAACATAAACATAACAATTTTGATAAGGAACCCTTAAATTTGGTTAAGAATTGTGACCAAGGTATGTACTGATTGGACAAACTATGTAATGTAGACACAGTTTCCCATCAACCACATACATATTTGGCATTTCCAGTAAACATTGGACAACATATGTAACGGTACAAACACATTAAGTTGCATCAAATAATGTCTGACTTCTATCAACTGTTGTGAGTCACCGGTAGGAACAATAACGACACTAGAGCCAGAACAATAAATCGGCCGATATGTTTTTATCTGCGAACATGTCGGCTAAAAAAATATGTCTGTACGGAATTGCCGTGTGTTTTAATTGTTTTAGAAACAGTGTGTCCGCTACATAGTTCGTCCATCAAAGAGCACTGACACAATCTTTTTAAATTAGTTTTATTTTTACACTGTAAAATGTCCAGTTCAGTACATTTCTTTGTCACAGTTACGAACAATAACCAATTTAAGGGCTCTTAAACTCTCAGATACCGTTATGGTGTCACTCACTCAGTCCAGTGTTTCAGTCGGGCCCTAAAGGACACATCACATCAAAATCAGTCTTTGCACAGTAAATATGCTGGCAATAAAGTATTGTTTGACCAACAGCCTAAAACCAAAAGATATTCAGTTTACTGTCACATAAAGTGAAATCAGAAATTTCTCAAACTTCAGAAGCTGAAACTTGTTGATCTGTTGATCGGCTATTTGTTTAAGATCAGTTATTTAATAAACCAGTTTAAACTGACATCTTCACACAAAATATCACATCAGTTTTTATATATTCAGCAGGTAGACGGAGGAAGAGCGTTCCTTTGTCACTCTTTCAGCATGATGGCCTTTCGTACCGTTAGAAAACTCCAAATCTCTGCTGACAGGTCTCTGATTTACCCTAGAAATGCAAAACCCAGTGACATTTACTGTTTAAAGTTCACAATAAAAGAACTTTCTGTTTCTCCAGATAGATGATGTTTAATAAAGACACTGCTAGAGTTTGATTTTTGAGTGTTTAAATGCAGCTCCGCTCACTGACATTCTGTTCAGTCAGCATTTGAACTGGAAAAACTTCAACTCAGCAGATTTACCTTCTTTGAAATAGCGGCTTTACAGCCAGTCAGAGTGCAGGACTGTGAGGACTTTGTGTTTGCGTTCAACTTTTAGCTTTAAATGAAACTATATTTATCTACAGAGTTTGGTTGGGCTCCAATAGCTGGTTCTATTTTGGATCCTGGTCTAAGTTGGTAAAATATTTACATCTGTTGATTTGTTAATCTGTACTTCTTGTAAATTTTATCTCCTCGCTATGTTCTCTGTTTCTCTTTTTTTTGTTTTTTTGTTTTTTGGCTGAGATCATGTGTACAATAAGCTGATTCCAGACCTTTCAGCCAGAGCTGATCAAAGCAGCTTTATCAGTCGCTATAAGTTGAGAGGTTAGTCTAAAATCAGCACATTTCTTGAGTCATCATGAGCAAAATAACCCCCCCTCCCGAACATGAGCCTGACTTCAGACTTGAATTATGACGTGAGTGGTTTCAGAGTTGTTAAAAGACATGTTGCCTCTAAAAGTTGCCTGTCGAGTGTCGACTTCATACGATAGGCTGTCAGAGCAGGCCGGGACGCCGGGACGCGGGGCCGTAGCTACTATTGAGGACTGAGGTCGTGTCCTCGGTTGGGGAATTTGGGAGGTTAAATGACAAGAGGAGGAGTTTATCAGAGCTTTCTAAATAATCCATTAAATCCAAAGTCCAAAGATATTTATCTTACAATAGAAGAAACAAACATTTGCATTTGAAAAGCGAGAACCAGAAGAGTTTTGGTGTTTTGCTTAAAGAATGTCTTAAAAGTTTAAAAGATTATAAAAATTGTTGCTGTTTCTGTTGATCGACTCATTTCTGTTATATTTTTAGACCAAATATCTGAATGTGATATTTTTTCAGTAAGACACGAAGGTTAAAATAAAAGTAATTTAGTGTTTTCCAACAGAATTACATACTTGAAGGTGTAGAGGAGGCTATGATGCTTAATGCTGTATATTTTTTTAAATACTCACAAAATTGAACAGAGTTTGGTTGGTGGCTCATCAAACATTTCCTCCATGTGTGGGACTTTATGGCTCAGGACCTCAGTATTTCTCAAATCCTGTCTACGGCCCTGCTGGGAAGCTGCCCAGTAGAGGCCAGCTGCATGCTGGGAAATGCAGTCCAGTCTCTGGTCAGCTGGTCCTGGTCTGTTCTCAGAGAAACCTTTCTGCATATTTAGGAATCTCCTGCAGCTGATTAAAGTGTTTATGTTGATGATGAGACAGAGAAGCTGCCTTCTGAACAGTCTGAGAGCTTCTGATATTCATTTGATTGATTGCTTGATTGGACCCAAGCCCCACAGCAAGTGTGTGTGTGTGTGTGTGTATATATTAGTGCTTCTATTCCTGGGAGAGATCTAAATCTATATATAAAAATGTATGTATACATATCCTGATTGTATTTTTGTTGATTTATTGATCAGACGATGTGATCAGACGTGACAGCGCCATCAATCGTCACTGGTCATATTTTTGTAGAAAAGCTTTAATGGACGAAACCCAGTGAACTTCCTGATGTTTAAGGATCTGAAACCCGATTGGATGTCTGACTGTCGAGAAGCGAACGAAGGACTGAACAGACGACAGACTATGGACGACTTGAACCAACAGAATGTAGAAATGTTTTGTTTTGATGTTCACTGTGGGATCAATAATAATAATGATAATTGATTCATCAATTATGGTGGTACTTTTTTGTGTGTCCTGTATTTGCTGTCACTATCCAGCTGGAACAGTTTACATTTATATATATTTATTTACTAAGGATTCATTTTTCTTTCTTTCACCTTTTTTGGGGACATTTCTAATTTGAAAAGTTGAATATTGAATTTAAAGCAAAAGATGAAAGAAAGAAGTAGCATGATGTTTCATACTGAAGCATGAAACACATCCTGCCAACACCTGGCTGCTAGAATTTTAAATATTTTAGTTTTTTAATTTGTTCAAATGTGGTAAAAAAAAAAAAAAGAACTTTTTTTAGACCAGAACTAAATTCAGTATCAAAAGTATCAAATGACTTTCCAAACTGTGGTAAATCTGTTATCTAGTCTTAGGGCTGCTAACACTATTTACATTATCAATTAATCTGATTATTATTTTCACGATTAGGTTTAGTCTTTAGTAAAGTGCCACAACTTGACAATTTCCTAAAAATCTGCAGATTGCTTGTGTTTTAATCAGATTAAGGTTCAGATACATTCTTTATTGTCCTCAGTGGAGGAATTTGTTTTGTTGTCTGTACAAAGAGGCACCTTCGACATGAATTCTACACACAAACTACACATAGTAATATACACATATCTACACATATAACACAGGGAATAGACTCACAGATGACGTAGACGAGAGGACAAACAAACAAAGACGTGGCTTGACCGACGCACAACGGTGTCTCGACGTGGAGAGTACGGACACAGAGAACACAGAGTATTCAGTTAACTATCACATGACTAATAACTGACTAATCGATACATTTTTCCAGCTCTATATTTAGAGTTGAACATTGTTAATAATGTAAGTACACAACTCAACAAAATGTCGTACATATCACTAGTATTTATAGACATTTTAATGCAGAAATGTTACGTTACATCTTTAATACCTTAGTAATCAAAGGGAGATCAAACAGCCTAATTATGTGTGTGATTTAGTTTCCCAGAGTTGGAAACTAATGAAAGCCCTAAAACAAATGTCATGGCGCCTTTCTCCAAGCTCAGACTTTAAAAACCTGAAATCTGCCTCTCTGCTGTAATGCTGCCATCTGCTGGTCACTCCGAGGTTCGGAAAGCTCTCCAGAGGTTGAGACCGGTCTGCAGGAATACGTGGGTTTAGATTGTGGTTGGATGGATTTACCACTTAGGAACATCCATGAATGGCACTTGGGAACTTGGGCCCTCATTAAAACCAACTAGGACTGCAACTAACGATCCCACTGAGATGGCTGATATGACGTTGAAAAGACGTTTTATAGATGTCTGTTATACATCTGTTTGTCTCTAGACGTTTAGATTGAATGAAGGTTATTTAAGGTTGACAGGTGAAAGTTTAGGAGTAAACGTAGACTTTCCTTCAATGTCTTCTCAACGACAGGTGAGATTTCTCCAGGGTTTAGCTTTATTGTTTAATGTACATCTTTTATACATTGAATACAGATACAGATACAGATTGATACAGATGGCCCATTATACAATTAGGGAATTTGTGTATAAATAAATCTAAATAATATATATTAAAATAAATTGAATTATATTAAATCAAAACAAAACATAATCTGTAAATAAAACTGAGAATATACAAAAACAAAAACAAATGTGTCATCTTCAGCTGATAAACCACCAACTCCTCTGACTCATTCTCCGGTTAAACATCCTCAGATTACTCATAATCCTTAGTGTAATTTAGGCCAGGGTGGGGCACACGCACACACAAACACCAAACTCTTCGGGGGTTATTATGAACGCACTAACCCCAGTGTGACTGTTAGCAGCTAACAGCAGTAAGTTATGATTTGCGCCCTCTGTTATCACGTGTTGTCACTTCGGGATCATCTCTG